GAGGAGGGGGGAGGGCAAGGAGCAGGGCTCGGATTCGAGCTCGCAGTCGCTCCGTACACCACCTCTACGATGGAAACGCTTAGCGCCCGAAAGCCCCCAGGGGGCTCGGGCTGCCCCCGCGTCAGACACCGCCGAGCGGTGCTGAGCTTCTTGGCGGGAGGGTCCAGTGTCTCGCGCTTCTCGCCCAAATCTGTTCACAATCGGTTCCCGGACCCCTCCCCGGGTCCATCTTGACCCGCTTTCCGAGGCGGATTTGGCCGTGGCGACGAGGAGCTTCCAGGAGGCCCAGGGAAGGCAGCCGTTGTCTCGCTGGGGCCGGGTGTTACTAGCCCCCGGCGGGCTGCCTCGCCTCCCGCTTAAAGGGGCCATCTGGGGCCCAATCGGGGCGAGCAAGGTGCACATTTCTTGGCCTTTCCATTTACAGTAGAGGCCCATGCCAGGAAACACCCTGCGCCCTGGGTCTCTTGGGTTTCGATGGTTTTGCGATGGAAGGCGTGGCGTTCCCACGCCATCCCGACATCGGCCGATATGATGCTTTCTGTGCGCGGCCCCAGAGGTCCCGACCCCTTCCCTGGGGGTAGCTCTTCGCCCCAGAGCTGTTTCGGATGATCCTGGGGCCCGATGACTGGCCCCAGTGGCCGAAACATCAAGGAACAACTGCCAGTTGAAACAGTCATTCTTCGGCGCTCTGGGCACGCGCAGGCCGACTCGCCAGTTCGGACGCGGCGCAGACCCCACGGGAAAGAGCCGATCCACAGCGCACGCGGCCCCGGCGGCAGCGCCACCGCTGCCGCCCGCGTCGCTGCCCGCGCCGTTGCCACCAGCGGGCGCCACCAGGCTGCGCCCGCCCCCGCCCCCGCCCCGGTTTGCGCCGGGTTCGGCCAAGGGCCCGTGCAGCCTCGGGGCCCAGACCCGTTCGCGCCTTGAGCAAAATCACGGCAGAAGGTTTGCTCCTAGGTTTACTGAGGTGTTCGTTGTCTGTTCAACCCTTCCCGCCCAGGGTGCTTTCCGACAGCTGCGCCTCGGCGAGAGCGTTCTCGGGGGGCCTGGATCGTCCCGAACGGCCGCTGGAGACCCGAGTTATGGCCCGAAAATCGGACCCCTTCGCGATGTGAACAAAAACACGACGCAGGGTTTTCGGCAGTTTTCGGCCTCCGAGGGGCCCTAGCGGGGCCGCGGGACCGCTAGAGAACGACTCGGACTGAAGAGTCGGTCTTGGGGAAGGCGTCTACTTGGAACACCGCGGTGGTTGTTAATTTGATGAGGGGTCATAAGTGGATGCTGAGGTTGGTCATATCTCATTTAACCTAGCTGATAAGCGGGTCATAAGAAATACCCTACATAGCTCGGTGGGTGAAGGTCCGGGCTCAATGAGCTCCGCCGTTTAGCGGAGTTATCTTACCCCCCCGCTGAGTTACTTGAGGAAATTGTGTAACCCACTCATGAACTTGGTTAGGCCAGACATACCACCCTAAGCATCCGCCTTGAACCCCCTTTATCCCCGTAGCGACCACCGCGGTGATTCAAGTAGACCTTCGGGGGTCCACGTTGTGAGCAACGATCGTGACCTCGGGGTCTGGGGGCTGTCCCAGCGCCCGCCCGGACAAGAACCGAGGGCCTTCCTGCCTGGGCAGCTCACCCGCGTCCTGGTCTCGCTCCTCCCTTCGGCCCCCCGCTCCCGTCGGGGGAGAAAGAGGGGAAAGGGGGAGCAGCAGGACAGAGAGGCACGGGGGTGGAGCAGCCGTGGCCCGCGCGCGCGACCTCCTTCTCCTCCCGCCTCCACGCCGCGCCGCTCCACCTCTCCTCCTCCTCCTCCTTCTCCTCCTTTTTTCTTTCATAATATCTATATATACATGTGCGTTGGTCAGACTTTAGCCGAGGGCTGCAGCGTACAGTATCAGAGAGAAGATCAACGTCCGACTTGGCGAAGAGGTGCAGCAAAATCACCTGGCGGGCGCCGCGGAAAATGACGTTTGAAAAGTACAGTGAATAATACGCATGTTAGCCAGCGTGGGCCCCAAACAGTAGGTTCTTGCAGTCTACGCGGTGCAATCGGTGTGGTGCAATGTATGCGATGCAACTTATGTAATGCAACCTGCGTGGTGCAATCTATGAGGTGCACTCTATGTGGTGCAATCTACGCGGTGCAACCTATGCAGTGCAACCTATGTGGTGCATTTACTTGCCGAACTTGAAGTTGTCAACTACACTGCTCGCGCAATCATTCCACCCACCTTCCCGCAACTTGGTCTGCAAAACTCATGCGTTGATGAGCCCCACGGGTTCAGGAAACGATGATCGGGCATTTTCTTGCCCGGAAATAAGAGACCACAAATTCCAAAATACCGGAAAAGCGAAGCCACACATACCAAAAAAGAAGCACCGAAACCCAACAAACAAATGTGGAACCAATAATTGACGTGGAATATGTGGTATCGATATACCACCCCGGTGTCGCCCTCGCCCGTCTGGCAAGGGCTGAGACGAGCTCAATTTGTGGTACTCCTCATCCGCGACTTGGTAGTGCACACAAAGCCCGCAGCAAGCAAGTCCACGGGGGGCCGATCACGGGCTGCTGGCTCTTCAAATCGTTTGCGCGTGCTCGGCTGAGCTCCTCCACAGTGCGAACCATGAGCCGTGTGTCGACAAAGTATTTCTTTAGAAACTGTTGTTGCAACACGCTGCGCTCAGCCTGGAATGTGCTGATGATCTCCACGCTTTTGCCATAGCGCTCCTGCCACACCTTACGCAGGGAGTGCATGCCTTTGAGGAAGACGTCCGAGCCCGAGAAACCTCAGCCATGCAAAGCTGACCCCGCGAGGGTGTGGCGTGGGTTGGTTCGTGGGGTGTGTCTGTGGGTGGTTCGTCGGGTGGTTTCGTGGGGTGGTTTCGTGGGATGTCTCGTGGGGTGTGGTCGTGAGGTGGTTCGTGGGGTGTGTCGTGGGGTGATTTCGTGGGGCGGGTCATGGGGTGTTTCGTGGCGTGGTTCGTGTGGTGGGTCGCGGGGTGTTGCCTGGGGTGGTTCGTGGGGTGGTGCGTGGGTATTTTCGTGGCGTACTTTCGTGGGGTGGTTCGCGGGGTGGTTCGTGGGGTGGGTCGTGGGGTGTTTCGTCGGGTGTGTCGTGGGGGGTTTCGTGGTGTGTTTAGCGGTGTCTTCGGGGCTTGGACTGATTTTATTTTTAGCGAAGTAACCTCCAACTGGCTGACTGACTGGTCGCACCTGTTACGCGACGATGTTAGCGTTGGCGGCCGGGGGCGCAACCTATGCCGCAACCACGGGGAGGGAGGGGGGCTTGACCACGTGTTTCCCCCTCCTGGGGAAAGGGCCTGGGGGAGGGACCCGGGGAGGGAGGGGGACTTGACCACGTTTTTCTTCATCCTCCTGGGGAAAGGGCCTGGGGGAGGGACCCGGGGAGGGAGGGGGACTGGACCGAGTTTTTCTTCCCCCTCCTGGGGAAAGGGCCTGGGGCGGGGACTCGGGGAGGGATGGGGACTTGAGCACGTGTTGCTTTCTCCTCCTGGGGAAATGGCCTGGGGGAGGGACCTGGGGAGGGAGGGGGACTTGACAACTTTTTCTTCCTCCTCCTGGGGAAGGGCCTGGGGGAGGGACCCGGGGAGGGAGGGGGGCTTGACCACGTGTCTCTTCCTCCTGGGGAGAAGGCCTGGAGGGGGGACCCGGGGAGGGATGGGGGACTTGACCACGTTTGTCCCTCTCGTCCTTGTCGTCGGCGTCGTCGCGGTCGTGGTGCGTGTTGCTCCGCTCGGGACTTCTTTCCCTTATGCGGTGATCACCACCCTTCTCTTCCTCCTCCTCCTCCTCCTCCTCCTCCTCCTCCTCCTCGTCCTCCTCCTCCTCGGGCGAGCTCGAGCACGCGCTGCCGCCCGCGAGCGGAGGCTCCCTCTGCGCGCGGGAGCGTCGGAGGGGCTCGATGTATAGACCACGTCGTCTGGAGGCCACTCGTTCGCCAGCATTGGCTCGATCGCGCGCCAGCTTTGGCGTCGATCGCATGCTCGTTCACTCGTTACGCAAGTTGTTCGATCGCACGCCAGCTGTTTACACCGCTGCTTGAGCGTCGAGCGCACGCTATAGCTTGGGCGTTGTGGAGCGGGGGTGCGATCGTGGTGCCGCCGGCCCGCGTATGACACGTCATCCCCCCCGCCCCGGGGACGGCGTGCACCGAGGAAGCACTGCCGGGAGACTGGAGTTCACAGGAGGGGCCCTCGCGGGGGATCGCCTCACAGGGATCGGGGGAGCGTAAGACCCGGGTTTGCCAGGACTCGGGTTCGCCATCGTTTTTTGACGACCGCGCCTCGGATTTTGACGAGGAGGAGTTTCGTGGGGTGTCTGCAGCGGGAGGCCTCGTCAAAATGCAGGCTCGGCCTCGTCATTTTTTTGACGACCTCGTCGGGGATTTCCGAGTCCCCTGTACCCAGGTCTTACGTCCCCCTGAAAGGGGCCCTCGCGGGGGATCGCCTCACAGGGACAGCATGCTTTTCGGAGATCGATGTTGCGCGCTATTCTGCCAGCGCCAGCCGTACACCGGCGGGCGTGACCACCGAGGGGGAGCGTGTCGGGGGATGGGGGCCGTTGACGTCACGATTCGCGCTGGCGCCGTCTTGGAGTGCCTAGGAATGGCCAGCTCCTCGATGGCGCCGGCGCGAATCGTCGACCAGAGTGTGCCAGGGAGCTCGGCGGAAGAGCTCGGCGTGCAGACGCTCGAGCGTCCCACGGGTGGGGCAGCCGGGGCGTCCTGTGCACCGAGCTCCTCAGCCGACCAAACCACGAGGCGCATACACTCTCGGCGATACTTAAGAAAACCCAAGTTTTCGGCCAGAGGCTCGATTATTCTTAATGTTTCAATGTAAATCCCAAGATTTTAACAGACATTCGGGGTTTTCATTCAGATTCTGAGACTATGAATTTCTTAACCCATGATTTCTAAAGCATTTCGCAGGGTGTACATCGAGCCCCTCCCAGAGCGATGGCCGACGAGGCCCCCATGATGGCTCCGTCGAGAGGCGACGAAAGCGGCACGGAGCGCGCGCAGCTCCGCGTCGGGAGCGGCCCCGCGGCGCCTCTCGAGGAGCCGCCCCCCCTCCGGCACGAGCCGACACTGTCGGAGCTCCGCGCTCCGCGGGGCCGCCGGGGGATCGGCGACGGCCCCCCCCTTCCCTGGCGCGCGCGCGCGCCGCCAGGGGTCCCGGCGCCGCTCTCGGAAAGCCGCGCGGAGCCCCGACAGTTGATGCTCGAAGGATTGCAAAAAACCGAATGATTGCAAAAAACCTTGGACGAAGGATTGCAAAAAACCGAAGGATTCAAAAAAAAAACCCTTCGGTTTTCTGCAATCCTTCAATCCTTTGGTTTTTTGCAATCCTTGGTTTTTTGCAATCCTTCGCAGCTTCTCCTCCTCCGAGCCTCAGGAGGCCGGCACCGCGCCGCCGCGGTGGAGGCCCAGCCGCCGCCTGGCGGCCGCCGGTGCCGCAGTGGCCTGCGCGGGCTTTGTGGCGGGCGTGCTGGTGCGGGCGGTCGGCTGGCGCAGCCTGGCCCGGCAGGCGCTCGGGGCCAGGAGCGCGGGGCTCGTCTCGGAGGCCGCCGCGGAGCTCGTCGGCAGCAGCGTGGGCTGCCGCAACCTGGCCTCGATTCGGACGGGCGAGCTCGTCATCCTGGACAGCAGGGGCAACGCAAGGCGGGGACATGCCAATGCTCGGGGGGGGGATGCATCGATCTCCGAGCGCCCATTCATCGCCGATTGGGGCCCATTAGTTAGCCTACCCTGCCCAGGAATGTGCGGATTCGCTATCGGGGGCCTACCGCCGATCTACAGGCGATGTATCTCGGATTCCAGCTCGATGCCCCCCCCCGAGCTGGTGGCCCCCCCTTGATGTTACCTCTGAGGACAGCGCGCAGAAGTGTGCCGACCGCTGCAAAGAAAGATCTGACTGCGTGCAATTCAACTGGCAGAAGGGGAACACCCCCGGCCGTTGTGGCCGCGACGAGTGCGACATGGCAGAGTACGGTTACACATTCGGCACGTGCCTCATGTACAAGCAGCCGTGCGAGACGGTCCACAGCGACAAGTGGGACTTGTACAGTGCAGAGCCAGATCCGCCAGGGGAGGGGCCGAGATACTGCCCCGCCGTGAGCGACCTGCAGTCTGGCGAGGGGGCCTCCGCCCTGGAGGACCAGGGCTGGACCATCGAAGGAAGCGGCCGCGTCGGCACCCGTGCCAGCTTCGACCTGAACGGCGGCTCGGTGCAGTTCATGGTGCAGCTGGAGGGCGTCCCCTCTGGCTCCGTCGGTGGCCAGCTCGTCTCGGCGCTCGTCGGCCTGATCATGCCGCAGGGGAGCGGGGAGTTCTCTTGGAGCGAGGATCGGCGGACAAGCCGCGTACGCATGATTCTCGGCGCTCGCGGATCTTTTGGATCGGCGCTGGGCGCCCCTGGCGGCGCCTCCAGCGCCTCCCCTGGAGCGTTTCGCGCGCCTGGGTCTCCAGTGCAGATCCACGAAATCCGCGCGGACCTCCGAGAACTTCTGTTGACTGGCGCTTTATGCTCCTCTAGAGGATTACTGCGACGGCAGTGCAGGGGGAAAGTTCTGTCCAGACGTGCACCTGCTGCAGACTAACGGAAGGTCCGCCTATTCCGTTTCATTGCGGACGAGCGACGACGCGGAGGGCGAATGTTATGCGGAGGTTGACGGCAAGTCTTGCGTCGCCGAGCGGTTTTTCCAGAGCGACAGACCCTGCGGTGCAGCGCCCGACGCCGTCATCGACGCCACGAAGGAGTTCTACGTCGGCGTGAGCTTCCCCAGCAGCGGCCACGAGACGGAGCTGATCGTGACTCTGCGACAGGGCGACGCGGAGCAGACCATCCGCCTCGCCGACCTGGCCGAGGGGGCGGCGGGCCCGCCCTCCCTGGTGAGCCAGAAGGTCCTCTTCTTCTCGCTGCGGGCCCACGGCGCCGTCCTGACGTCCAGCCTGCAGGGCGTGGCCTGGGCCCCGAAGGGCGGCGCGTGCCCCGACGGCGCGGCGAGCCTGCAGGGCGCCAGGCTGCGGGTGCGCCGCCTGGTCGTCCAGGGGCAGCTGGTCCGAGGCACGTGCACCCTCTGTCAGGACTGAGATGGGCAAATCTTCCACCATTCCACTACCAGGTGCAGAACGGGGGAGAAAGGGAGCATGAGGAGGTCCTCCTCCTCCTCCTCCTGCTGCTCCTCCTTCTCCACCTTCCCCTCCTCCTCCCGCTCTCCCTCCTCCTCCTCCTCCGCCTCCTCCTCCTCCGCCTCCTCCTCCTCCTCCTCCTCCTCCTCCTCCTCCTCCCTCTCCCACCTGTGGTAGTGGTGGTGGGAAATGGGCCCCTTCAAGGACGCGCGGTGAGGGCCGCACCGGGGCCCCGCCGCCGATCTCTCGCGCGCGCGGCCCCGCAGGGGTACCCCCTGCCGCTGCACAGGCCCAGAGCGAGTCTCGGCCTCCCCGAGGGGGCCCGAGTTTCAGAAGGCGAAAGCCCACCCCCACCCCCCGTCCCGACGTCCATCCCAGAGCCGGCGATTCAAGGGGTCGGGACTTGGGGTGGAGGTGGGTTTTCATTCCTGGACCCCGAAAAGGCACCCCCACCCCCAGTCCAAACACACCCGAAAAACACCTCTACAGGAGGAATATACAAAAATAGTTATAAATATAGTCTGGGGACTTTGTTTGACTATTTTTGCATTTGTTTCGGGCATGTTTGGAGTAGTTCTCATTCTTCGTCCCAAATCCGCCTGTTGGGGGACACGCCCCACCTTAGTCTAGGCCTCCCAGAGGGGGTCCGAGTTCGGGCGACGAGATCTGTACATGTCCTCGGAGGAGGGAAAGGTACCCATACCTCTGCCCTTTCCTCGTTTCTGCTTTTTTGGTGCCTCCTCGGAGGCCCTCGTCGGCACCGCTGGATCCGCCCCGAATTTCTGGTTGAACGCACCCTGGGAGAGGTCCAGGGAGTAGTGGTATCAGCACCTTTCGGTTTCCCATATCCGCTGCTCCTTGGCTAGGCCCATCCTGAACCCAGGAGCTGTGTAGACGCCCGCCTGGCCAAGCCAGGAGGGTGTGGCGTATGCACTGCTGCTGCGTTCAGGCTGGGCCTGGCCACGGAGCAGTGGCTAGGCATAGATCCCGCTGCCCTACGAGTAGATGGGGTCGGGGGATCGCGCCGCCTCGCCGATGCCGCGGCGATTCGGCTCGATGTGGAGCCCAATCTTCTCCACGCCACGCCGACGTCGCCGACGCATCGTCGACGTCGCCAGTGCATTGACGATGCATCGGCGATGCATCGGCGATGCATCGGCGATGCTGCGCAGTCCTCCGAACCCCATCCTCGGCGGCGAGCCTCGGGGGGAAGTGGGAAAGAGCGGGCCTTCTCAGAAGGCTCGGAAGTCCCCTGGCCTTCTGAGAAGTGCTCTGTGAGCTTTCCCCGGAAACGCAGCAAGCCTCTCATAAGGCGCGAGGGCTTTTGAGAAGCCCCTTCTCCTCCTCCTCCTCAGGCCTCCGCCTCCTTCTCCTCCTCCTAAGCGGTCACACCCCACGCGGCTCAAGGGGTTGCCGCGTTCTTCGCCTTTCCTCGTGGCTCCTTCGTTTCTTCGGCGGGGTTCGTTGGGCTTACGTCTCCTCCTCCTCCTCCTCCTCCTCCTCGCTTCCCCTCCCCCTCCTCCCTCCTCCTCCTCCTCCTCCTCCTCCTCCTCCTCCTCCTCCTCCTCCTCCTCCTCCTCCTCCTCCTCCTCCTCCTCCTCCCCCTCCTCCTCCTCCCCCTCCTCCTCCTCCTCCCCCTCCTCCTCCTCCTCCTCCTCGCTTCCCCTCCCCCCCACGTCCATCCCGAGACCCCACCTGGGGAGGTCTCTCCCGTGGGGGCCGCCGCCCGCCGCCCCCACACCTCTCGGGCGCCCAGCCCCGGGGCACGCCGCGCTCAAACGGCCGAACGCGGACCCAGGCCCGCGTCGTCGTCGTCGTCGTTCTCGTTCTCGTCTTCGTTTTCGTCCTCGTCCTCGTCCTCATCTTCCTCCTCGTCCTCGTCCTCGTCGTCGTCGTCGCCGTCGTCGTCGTCGTCGTCGCAGGGCGCCGCCGCCGCGGGCCGCGCTGTCTGGGCGTAGCTCTACAGCTCGAGCAGATGTCGTGCGAGCCGCGTCTCGAAGTGCTGGGTGAATACTTGTGGAAGCTCATTCCAGCACATGCCGCCTCGGCTTAGTAGCCTTAAGTCGGGCATGTCCCTCTACAGGAGGACGATTCAAACATAGTCAAAACATAGTTTCGGGACCACTCGTTTTTTTTGCAAATGTTTGACTATCATTGATTTTTGTATAGGGTTTTCTATTTTGTCGTCCCACATCCACCTGTAGGGGGACGCCCGACCTAAGCGTAGCTCTTCAGCTCGAGCTGATGTCGTGCGAGCCACGTCTCGAAGTGCTGGGCGAGTCTTTTTGGAAGCTCATTCCAGTACATGCCGTCTCGGTTTAGTATAGCGGCCTGTAGTGTGTTGTCAGCGGCCTTCAATGGCCTTGAGTCGAATTCGCACTCGCTGGCGCGACAGCCCGAGGCTGTCAAGCGGAGCTGACAGGGCAGGCCGCTCCGCTTTCGCGACAGTGTACCCATCGGTCGTTGTAGGTAAGTATTCTTGGAAGCCCAGATTCCAATCCGCTCTTGGCACTTCCCCCCTCCGATCATCGAGTGGAGTCCTTTTTGCCTTCCTCTGTAGGGGCCAGGAGGAAACCAAATCTACTTCCAACGCCTTCCTACCTCATGTTAGCACACAGTGCTTCCGACTAGTGGGCAGGCACACCAACGAAGAGATCGGTCTGCCAGCAGGTGCCTCACGGAAATGTCTTATCCCCTGATGGCCCCAGGAACCCACAGAAGTTTTGGGCACCTTCGCATCCCGAGAGATTGACGAGTCAGGCGCCCCAGGATTTGTCATGGCGCCAACATCGCAGTGCGGAGTTCGTTCGGAAAACGATAGGGGGGGCCCGGGGTGTCCTGGAGAATTTCGTTCCGGATTTCGAGGTGAATTTCGTGTGGCTTCTTCCTGGCCAGGAATGGACCGAAAAGAATCCACGCGACATTCACTCCGTTTTTCGCTCGCCGCTTCGGGAAACAATCCACGCAGAAATCCACGCAGGAATCCGCTGCAGCACGTCTGCAAGGCCGGTGCAATGACGAGTCAGGCGCCCCAGGATTTGTCCTAGCGAGGTGTCCGATCGCCTCTATGTGCTGCAAGGGTCCGCCTCTCACTTCAGTGCCTCTCTTAGCCGAAGCCCGCTGCCCCTCTTGGCAGGGGCCCATCGGCCAGAGTTGTATCGACTCCTCCCTGCTGCCCTTCGTGACCCCCCTCGCTCCTGCTTCCTCGGAGGGAGATATGGTAGGAAATGGTACGCCGCCGTCGGGAGCGCGGCAGCGTGTCCCTCCTGCTTTTTTTGTTAGTCCGAAGACCTGGTATCTCTTGCAACACGCACGCTGGACAACTCGCCTTCCGGTTGCCCCGAATAGCCGTGCGCTGGAGCGGGCTGCCTCTGCCTCGCCGCCGACGGAAAGATGTGTTTTTCAACACCAACACGCTGATGGGTTTCCCGCGGCGTATCATTTCTCACCGACAGTGGGGGGAGCAAGAGGTACCGATACCGCTACTCCCCGGACCTCTCCCGGGGTGCGTTCTGACCAGGATTTCGAGGCGAATCCAGCGGTGGCGACGAGGGCCGCCCAGGAGGCCCAAAAAGGGGAAAACGAGAGAAGGGTAGAGGTATGGGTACCTTTTCCTCATCTGAGACAGGTTGAGGTTGTTCGATTTCTACGAGAGCTCCCGATCCGCCTCGCACACCATGCACACCGCGGCCGCCGGGCCCGAACTGTGGCGGGATTTCCCTGGGTGTCCCGCCGCGTGCCTTGGACGGATGACGTCTGCATGCTGCGGCCGCCATGCCCGAGGTGTGCCAGTGCTCCCTGGGCATCCCGCCTCGCGGTTCTTGGGTGGGGATCGTCCGAAGCAAAAGTCCGAGGAGGAAGAGGTACCCATGCCTCTACCCCCTCGCCCGGTTTTCCCTCTTTGGGCCTCCTGGGAGGCCCTCGTCGCCACCGCTGGATTCGCTTCGAAAACTTGGTCAGAACGCACCCCGGGAGAGGCCCGGGGAGTAGCGGTATCGGTATTTGTTGGTTTCCCCCAAATCAGATGTTAGCCAGTGTGGATCCCACACAGTGTGTGTTTAGTAGTATTTTTTTCGCAATGCATGTTGTGCAATCTATGTGGTCCTATCTTCGTTGTGCAACAGATGTAGTGCAACACATGTGGTGCCATCTATGTTTTGCAGTTGAACTTTATCCATGATTTGACACATCCCACGCTCTTGCAAACATCCCACCCGCCCACCCGCAACTTGGTTTGCAGAACCTCTTACGACCGACTACGACGACACCGGCGACAACGACTACGACGACACCGACGACGTCTCCGACGACTTCGACGACGACAACGACGCCGACGCCGACGACGACGAAGACGACGACGACGACGCCAACGAAGACGACGACGAGGGAGGAGGAAGGACGACGACGGCGACAACGACGACAACGACGACAACGACGACGGAGGAGGGAGGACGGCGACGACGCGAACGACGAAGAAGGAGGAAGGACGGCGACGCCGACGACGACAACGACGAGGGAGGAGGGAAGACGACGACGACACGACGACGACGACGACGGCGACGAAATAGGAGGGACGACGACGAGACGCCGACGACGGACGACGACGACGACGAGGGAGGAGGAGGAAGGACGACCACGGCGACAACGACGACGGAAACGACCACGACGCCAAAGAGGACGACGACGACGAACACGAGGAAAGACAGAGGACGACGTAGGCGACGACGACGACGACGCGGGAGGAGGGAGGACGGCGACGACGACGACGACAACGACGACGACGCAAGAGCGCGCGCGCACGCTTTTGTTGAAAATCGGTGTTGCGAAACCTTGTGTTTTTGTAGGGTTTTTGGATACACGATTTTGAGATCCTTCCGAAACCAATGGGTTTTGAAGGATTTCGGCATTCGCGTCTGCACTTCGTCGCATTTTTTGCAGAGGATTCTCGCGACGGCACACTCGCAAGGGCGTTCGACAGATTTCGACATGCGCGCGCGCGAAGCTTGTTTGGTCGCATTTTGTGAAAATCTTGACAAACCTATGGTTTTCTCAAGATTTCGCAAGAGCTCGCGCGGAAGCTTGTTTAGCAAATCAGTGTTGCGACACCCTGTGCTTTTGTATGTTTTTTGGAAACTCGATTGCGAAATCCTTCCGGCACCGAAGGTTTTTGAAGGATTTCGGCATGCGCGCGCGACGACGCGCGCGTGTGCACCCCGTCCCGTTTTTGCAAGGGATTCGTGAAGAAGTGCTATGTTAGAACAAAGCATGTCGCCGCATAGTGGTTTGTACAAGGGAACCTAAGGGGGGGGGGGGGGGGGGGGGCGAACCCGGCCCCCTGGGATAGTGTAAATTCATGTTTAGGATGGACATGTGGTCATAATCATATATGATTTACATACCCGAAAGGGGGACCGATAACGCCGGGGGGGGGGCGTAGAGTCTATTCTCTTTTGAGACAGGAGAATATCTGTTGTGCAATGCATCCATCCATCCATCTTTCCATCCATCCATCCATCCATCCATCCATCCATACATACATACATACACATGCACACATACATGCCTACACACATCCATACATACACACATACCTACGCACATCCATATGTATATACATACACCCACACATACGTACACACATGCATACACACCCATACATACATACATACACACATACATACATACATACATGCATGCATGCATACATACACACATACACACATACACACATACACACATACATACATACACACATACATACATACACATACACATACACATACACATACACCTACACATACACATACACATACACATACACATACACATACACATACATACATACACACACGCATACATACAACTATACATACACACATATACATATGCACACCTACATACCTACATACATACGTATTTACATATCGTCACACAGACACACGAACATGCATGCCTACATTCCTGAACACATACATACATGCATACATACATACATACATACATATATATACACATCCACACATGCATGCTTGCATGCATGCACACATACACACATACATACAACACACATACACACATACACACATACACACATACACACATACACACATACACACATACATACATACACACATACATACATACGTACATGCATACATGGTACACTCCATGATGTACAGTATATGTAGTGGCATCTATTTTGTGAGCGATCAAAAGCGTGCCACAGGTGCGAAACACACATCGTGCTGCCTATGTGCTGCAATATATATGTGGCAATGTTTGTGGTGCCATCTAGATGGTGCGATCCATGCGGTGCAGCTTTGCTTGTGCAAAGTATGTTGTGCAATCTATGTTGTGCAACATCTTGTGTTGTGCAATCTATGTCGTGCAATCTATGTGGTGCAATCCAACAGCGGCGACTGGCTGCGACGAGGCGGCGACGTGGCGGCGACGGCGGGAACATAGCCGCCAGACCGAAGCCGCGGCCCACACGACGGGCGGCGACGAGGCGGTGACGGGGCGGCGACATTGGGATTATAACCGCCAGACCGAAGACACGGCCCAGTTCCACAGAGGTGAAATGAGAATCCCCAAGTGCAAGCACTGTTTGAGGAAGAAGTGAGAGTCCTCAAATGCAAGCCTTGGTTGGGGAAGACGATGGGCGGCGATGAGGCGGCGAGGGAGCGGCAACGGCGATGACATAGCCGCCAGACCAAGTTTCAGGCCAAGACGACGGGCGGCGACGAGGCGGCGACGGGGCGGCGACGGCGACGTCAGCCGCCAGACCAAGCTTGAGGCCCAGTTCCTTCGAGGAGAGGTAAGGTGCCCAAAGTGCAAGCACCGTTTGGGGAATGATGCGATGTTTGCCTTCTCCTCCTCCTCCTCCTCCTCCTCCTCCTCCTCCTCCCTGGAGCTCCCTCCCCTGGCTCGCCACTGTCCAGCCTATGTCCCGCGTCCCCCCCTCCTTTTGGAGCTAGCTCCCTCGCCCGGCGCGCCCCTCAAACGGGGGACTGCGCGGGCTCGGGCAGAGTGTTTCCTGGAGCGCGGGCGCCCTTCGGCCTCCTCCCGCGCCCCGCCCTCTTACCGCGCTGGATGGTTACTGGCATCTCTGATTGGGAGGACAAGTTACCAATACCGCTGCTCGTCCTGGAGAGCCCTCGTCGCCATGACGGCTGGATTCTCCCCAATATTCTGGTCAGAACGCACCCCTGGAGAGGTCCGTGGAGTGACAGGATCGGTACCTTCTGCTCCCCCCGACCTCGCCCAGGAGGGCTCCAGACCCGGCGCAGGCCGCCACGGCGCACTGGAGCGTGCTTGACCAGACTCCTCTTCCCTTCAGGGGCAACGTTGGTGGGCGAGAGCGTTCGAAGGTTTCGGGCATGTTGCTGATTCTCGGCGGTTTTCCAGCCTCGGAGCGCCTTCAGTGGCTGCGCCTCGCTGAGTGCGTTTCAGGTGTGCCCGGATCGTCCCGAACGGCCGCCCAGAGCCGATTTATGATCCGAAAAATCAGGGAAACCAGGAGGCAACGTTAGAAGGTTTCAGGCATGTTGTTGGTTCTCGGCGGTCTTCCAGCCCCGCGGCGCCTTCAGCGGCTGCGCCTCGCCGAGGGCGTTCCAGGGGTGGCCGGATCGTCCCGAACGGCCGCCGGGGATTGGGGGCGGCCAAGAGGGGGGTGATGACTAGGGGGGGTGGATATCATGGTGTGGGCCATGGTATTTCCCCAGATTTCATGGCGCCTCTTCTTATTTCATTACGTCCCCGGCCCCCCCCTTGGGCCGCTCACATGCCGCCGGCCATGATTTGCACCCCCCCCTCTTGGACGCCCCCTTCTTGGCCGCCCCCGAGTGGAGCATAGTTATCATCCGAAGAATCAGAAAAACCAGGAGGCGACGTCAGGGGGGCATAGGCCTGGGCTTAGGGGGCAAGGCATCGACCCCCACGTCGCCTTTTGGTCGTCGACAAGAAGGCCCGATGGCCCACCCCGCCTGAGGACCTTGCGGTGTCGCTACTGGCCCCCCCGCCCCCTTTGAGCCACCTCTCTGTTGCCCCTCATTGCTCGGGGGTGCACAGAACCCCCACCCCCCACCCTGACACGTCGATAGTGAGTTGTCCGTTTTCGGTTCTCGAGAGGGCGCCGCGGTCCTCAGGCTTGGGCCCGAGGTCGTTTCCACCAAACCACATTTTACTAAAGGGAGTTCTGTCCATCCCCGAATTGCTTCCCCGCGGTCGCGGTAATCCTCAAGGCGCTCGGTGGCCCAGCGTGCGTGCCTATTCCGTTCGGCTCCACCCATGGAGCGTGCAGCTTGTGCCGGGCCTCGCTGCAGTAGGCACGTCAAAGAAGACATCGCCCTGCCAGCACGTGCTCCACGGGAATTTCTCGTTCCCCGATGGCCTCAGGGGCCCACAGGAGATCCTGGGCACCTCAGGATCCTCAACGATCGACCAAGAATGTGCCCCAAGATCTCTTGTCGCATGTGCCTCCTTTCATCTTCCTCCCTTTTTCTTTTTCCCTCGTTCCCCCTCGTTTGATCTCCTCCTCCTTCTCCTTCTTGTCTTTCTCCTCTTCCTCCTCCTCCGCTCTCTGGCAGGGAGCACGAGGGCTGGAAGGCAGGAGGCCAGAAAGCCGGGAAGACAGGAATGGAAGGGTTGGAGGCTGGAAAGATGAAGGCCAAAGTGCTGAATGCCGGAGTGCTGCAGGCTGGAAACGGAGTCACCCTTGGGGCGCGAAGATAATGTCGCTTCGCGCGTGCAGTCTCGGCCATAGCGGTTGCCCTTATCCACGGGGGCGGCGCGAGGGCGTGATGGCGCGAAGATAATCGCGCGTCGGGCATCGGGGGCGCGATGCGCGAGGTTAGGTGACCAGTAAAAACAGGCAAGTTGAAAACAGGAAAGCAGTACAGCTGGAAGCTTAGAAAGGTGGAAAGCTGGTAAGGGAAGCTGGCAGGTCGATAGCTGGAAGTCCGAGAGCTTAACTCTGGAGAACTGAAAGCAGGAAAGATGACAGCTGAAAGCTGGGAACTGAAGCATGGGAAGCCAGAAAGCCTCAAAGCACGAAGCTGGGAATTTGAAACATGGAAAGCTGGAAAGGTTCCGAGTTTAGATACGGAAGGCTGAAAGTAGGACATATGGAGGCCAGATGGCTGAAATATGGGAGATCTGGAAAACTGGAAAGCTGAACTATGCATGGCTGAAGGTTCGAATGCCGAACGCTGGCAGTCGGAAAGCCGCCAACTGGATTGCCAGAAGCTGTAAGACTGGAAGGCGCAAAGCTGAAACCTGTTCGTCCCCACCCCCCTCCCTCGCGCGCGGAAGGCTGGATCTGTCCGCGGAGGAGCGGTTCCAGCAGTCGGACGCGGGGCTGGAGATTTGGCAGCGCGTAGAGGCGAAGCTGGACGCCCTGTCCGACGCGTGCCAGGCTCAGGAGGATGGACACGACGATGCCCTTCAGGGCGTGTTCGGCAGTCGTTGCACCGTTTTGGGGTTTCCGGCGGGCTCCTCTCGCTTCCAC